TTCCATCACAGGGTGAAATTGGTGCCCAACAATTGTCTAGCGAATTTTAGTTCGTAAAAAGAACTTTCTTCGAACTGAATCACTGTCCACAAAGTATAAGCTCACCGGTGACTAGCTTTGAAAAAGATTCTGGAAATTGCAGTGACGAACTCTGATCATTAAACTTTGACAATATCCTTGTTGAAACACGTACCACTGAAGTCATTAAAAGTTCATAGCTTACCATCTCGAGTCAATTATAATTAAAATTCTCACCCATTAAATCTAGACTCAGACATCTAGAGATAACCCGCTCAAGAATATAAGACTTGACTTATACTAGGGTTATTAATGTCCAGATCTAAATCTCAGACCAAAACTCATGGAACCTTTTCATTTACAAATCAACTACAAAAAAAAGAAGAATAGTGAATATCAAGATTTACTCCAATAAGGGTACAATCCAAAAAGTGAAAGTCAGTAACGATGATTTGTAAAATGGAGACGAGACTATAATTTATGGACGAACCAATCAGGTATAGGGCATCCACTCGGATAAATAAAGTTTTGACATTATAGCTGATGTCAGTTCGTGATGAAAACCCTAAATCTAATTCTTAACCTTAATCATCAACTGTAAATCATAGTTCTACTTCCTCAAACTGCTTTATAACCCTCATTTGGTCCTGATGAACACTCTCAAGGTCACTCCAGCGTTGCTCAAACGTCGTCTATCAAATAGAAGATTTAATAATACAATCAAATGATGTCACTGATACACATTAACTGATTACATATAGTTAATCAAGAAAAAGTATTTAAATGGTTCACATTAATAATGATCATAGGATAAAATATAACGAACTTAACATTCAAGTGACTGAAATATTAGTTTATCAAATGAGATTGAAATTATGTAATTTTAGTGAGATTTTGATTATATCTAAAAAGATAAAACTAGTATTGTGGTATAGTCTACTGATGTCGACAGATATAAGTAGTATGTCTTATCAATCAAAAGTGAAATGCCTGGATGCAGAAAGTTAAGAAGATCAAAAAAAAGACAACGAGAACAAAGATTGATTGATGTGGAAACGAAGAAACATTGAAGTCTAAGGCGATTGATTGATATTTTTCAAATGTAGTATTTACTGTATGATTCTCAGATTTGATTATGACATTCTGTAATTTTGTGTTCAATTACATTCGATTGTCCTCACTGATGTTCTCGTTCACTACAATATCTATTTGTTTCAAAACAGGCTAATTCGAGTTCGAAATGACTAAAATGTATCAAAAATTCAAGAAACCATAATTTAGGTAATAGTCTTTATCTCAATAATTGAGATCATCAGTCAATTAAAGCTAAACAACCATGGGAAACCTGGAAGCACTGGACTGCCGTTTCGTCCAACTGTGGAGCTCCTCAGCAGTGCGCATCCACGACCCCGCCTCGCGGGACTTGAACCCAGTACCTATCAGTTTCGCGCCCAGCGCTTAACCAACTAGACCACTGCACCAGCATCCAATGGTGTTAGTGACTAACTTCAACTAATCCACGAAATTGAGCGACACATCCATCATTGTCATCAGTGACTTACTATCTCACAACTGACCCGGCTGTCAGTTATATCTAATTGGAATAAAATTTAAACGCATAAAAACAAATAAGAGTGCTGAAATTCAGTTAGCGGATTTCACCAATAGTCAAATTGTAGTGAACAGAACACGGGTGGGGACAATCGAATGTATTAGACAACAAATTCCAGAACTAGTTAGTAAAATCCAACAATCATATATTAAATGCTCAATTTGCAAAATGTCCATCAATTGTCTCAAATGACTCAGACTTCCTTTGTTTCTGCATTTTCATACAAATTGCATTCTGTTTTCATTCTTCACTGTTCGATCTTCTTGTCTCTCTGCTGCCAGACATCCTGTTCACGACTAACATCATATACTACTTATGTCTACATAAGTAGCACACACCACAGTTATATCTCAAGAAAGGAGAGGTGATTTGAAGATGTATGGAAACTTATATAACGAAATGCAGGTTACTCTGTCCTGAAAAGAATAAATTTGTTACAAAATGGTCAACGAATAATAATTATGTTTCATACAAAGCTAATGTAAATGAGGAAAAACGTAATCAATAAAATGTAAGATCAAGCAAATTCATTATCAGAAACAATCCATGAGACTAGAGATACGGTTTATGCCGTTTGTACATTCAAGGTATTAGCTCAATTTTCATATGTTATTCAGACAAAAGAAACAGTTTGGCATCTACGACATAGCGAATAGGCATTTTTATCAAACCCGAGTTAATTTAGCGGCCTGCTTGAATATCTAGGCTACCTGTTATCTAAATGTTTCGACAAGTTACCTGTTTTTGTTTGTCTATTAATCTCACAACCTATTCAGGAGCGTTTATGAAAAGTTTGTAACCTTTCACTATACAAGTTACAAAAATATACGGTCAGAGATATCGTGATGGCTTTCAATATGCATTGAAAAGAATGAACATTATTCCGATGTCAATTCCTAAACTGTTAACTTCTAACTGGTCATTACTAATTGACAGGGTGAACTGTCTTCAATTTCTACTAAGTTTAAACATGTATCGTCATTGTGGTATAATCACAGTTCACGAATCCTGGCTAAATGATTTACAAGACAATTGCTTTGTACAATTACAAGATTTCAATATTTGTCGTCATGATTGATCAAGAAATAAGAGAAGAAAAGTTGTTGAAATACTTGGTGCTGAGAATTTCATATTGTACCAAAAATATAATCTGGAATAAAGCTACTAATAATAATGATACGCTAAGTTTACGTTTCTAATACAATACGACTGTGAGAGGACAGGATATTTTACACAGTAGTGGGCAGTATGTAAAAAGAATTGCGGTTTTTTCTACGACTCAAAATCTAAGATTTTTAAAGGATTTTCTCCATTCATATGAAAGTGAAGTATTCCAAACCACGTGATCTTTGTTTACTCAGATCAAGAAAATTCATGCTATTAAATTAAGATTATTCGCTTGGTTTATATTTTCATGAATGCTAAAAGTATGGATTCGTGTATATGGATCTTCAACAAATCAAATAAACTGCGGCTGACTTTGAATCCATCAAACGTTATCAATGATTTTAAACATTCAGCTTTATTAGCATTGATACAAGTTTATCTACATGCCGTATAACAGTTTTGGATATTCTATCTAAGCCAGTCGCTTCGGTGACTACAACAATCATCATATCTTCAATAACGTTACATGACATAAAAAGTTTGCTTTGTATATCCATCATTTAGTAGCTTTTTTATCGGTAGCAGACGTTAAAGTCACATTTGATAGTTCACCGAAATCATCAATCTACGTACAGAGTAAAAATGAAATCAAAATATTAACAAGTCATTTTTAAAACTCTAGAATTATGAGATCAATAAAACTTTTGCACTATTGAACGTTCGTAATTCGGTTGTGGTGGACTCTCTAAAAACAAACAATGCCGGAGAGAGACTTCATAACGGCTTTAACTGACTCAATGGTACAACTCATGCGAACATATGAAGATTCATTGTTACTCTAAAAAAGACATATAATCCAAGTGAATCAGAAACCTTGGATTTTGTCGGAAGGATCCAACAACAGCATGTAAAAAACAAGTACAAAGGGACAATAGTAGGTTTCAAACTGATCAGAGAATATTCTGGAGACGTGTCAACACTACGCTCGTTGTACGGAATAGCGTATAATCTAAAACTATACGTTTAGTTATATAAAGCCGTGTCAGCAAAACTTAAATATTTAAGTGACCTTAATATCTAAATTCTTAGAATGGGGGTTTATAGAGATTGTAGTTATTTTTTTAGTTGAGTTCATGAGTCGATCCACTCAAGACAATAGATGAATGGTCGTGAAAGATCATGGATGTCGGCTAAGTGGTCTACAGGTTAAGTGTTTGCACGTGAGACCGAGGGTACTGGGTTCGACTAGTGTGTGCAATAGCATGGATGCGTAATGTTGCAGAGTCCCATACAATGACGAAACAGACGTGCAATGCTTCCAGGTTTTCAGTGGTGGTCTAGCTTAGATCGACTCATGAACTCAAATATTAAAACTATCTAGATTATACTGATAAATCATAGTTTGAATGCTTGCTTTTGATTAATTACGTTAATACACCCAATATATCAGGTATATTATTTTATAATATTATCAAGTTACTCTTTTTATTCTTGTTTTAATTCATATAAATCACTTTCCACTCACCTTTTTGATGCTCACCCATTTCGGAGCGTCCCTATTAAAGGAAACTGAATATCAGTCGATTACTCTTTCATAATCATATATTAGAATATTTTTTGTCATTGACTTTATGATTTGTAATGTTTTTCAATTGCGTGAATTAGTTCCACACTCTATGCTTGTATCCATGCATAAAAAGAAAATCGACGTTTGATTAACTACCTAGTAACAATCTGTTTACACATATATAATATCTATTTAAGGAATACAAGAAATATAATATAACAGGGACTAACTTGGTAATATTGAAAGATGACATTCTAGATCATAAAATGGTGTAGTTGTGTTACCAACTTCTCAGTTTTCCATGGATCAGGCTTAATTTTTAATATAAGTTGTACAGTTTGTAATAGTAATATGTAGAGAACTATATAGTAAATAAATTTTTGGTACCAGGGGAAGAAAAAACTAAAATATACATATATAAACAGAGATGGATAGTGGCTAACAGTGGAAACTAGGATGTGCGTTTTGTCCTATTTTGGACTCGTCAGCTAAATATACCTGGATTCCAGAGTTGATGATCACTACGGGACTTGAACCTAGTACCATTCGCTTCATACGCTATCGTATTATTCACTGACAAGTCCCAAATAGAATGAAATCCATATCCTGAATTCTATTGCTTACCACTATTTATCTTAGCTTATAAAGCTTAAGACTTCAGACAATATCAATTCAATCCACCCAGGATGCATATATGCCAACAAGAAACTGATCAATTACAGTCCTATACAATAATGAAAAGATACAAGTAAACAATACCAAGTGAATTTAATAATAATGTTTTATTTACAAACAAACAAACAAAAAAGAAAATTAACAATGACAACAACAACAACAACAAAGAAACAAGAGAAAAATATGTAAATCTTAAAATTATAGTTTAATCTCATGTTATTTGTGGTGTTTCTTTTGTGTGTGTGTGTGTGTGTGCCTTATCAACAACCAAAAAAAAGAGAAAATAAAAAGAAAAAAATAATTCAATCAATAATTGAATTGAATTTAAACAATTACATCTTGATCACCAGTCCATACATGACATTTATCAAATAAATAAATAATACATAAACAAATACTTGATGTTAAAAATAATATAATTGGCCAAAAGATAGCATGAAATACTGATGTAAATGTATAAAATTTATACAATAATGCTTCATCTTCATGTGTTGCATGTATATAACATTGAAAATTTCTTTGATGTCTTATACGTTGTTGAAATTTTTCAACCCATTCAGTATTATCCATATCACGATGATGACATGCACTTGTAGCACACTAAATATTGAAAAGAAATGATATGAGAAATATATATATATATATATATATATATATATATATATATATATATATATTGATATCAAGAATGGATCAATGTTAGACCATTATTGAGAACCTAGAAGCACTGAAAAGCTGTTTTGTCTTAGTACTGGACTCCACAACAGTGCGCATCCATCAATTGAACCCAGGACCTTCAGTTTTTGAGAGTGAATGTTTAACCTCTAGACCATTGAACCAGTATTTAACGGTGTTAATGTCTAACATCAACTAATATATGATATTGTGCCACTGTTTATCATTATTTTCAGTTAGTAACTGCCTCATAACAGATACGGTTGAACTTCAGTGGTCATGACTTCTTAATAGAACTCTAAGAAATCCACCTTGAAGCTAGTCACTGGTGGGAATATCATAGTTATCTGTATGGGGTTATAAAGATTGTTGGATATATATATATATATATATATATATATATATATATATATATATATATCATGTTTAGTAATAATTTGTGGAAAATTACTTGTAGATACTCATTACTGAAGAGCTTCATAAAAAGATGGAACATGTGTTTAGTGCTTTGTAGTTGTCAGTGATTGTCTAGATAAGGTCAGTTCCCTTAAAAATGTATTTAAGATTCTACAATTTCTACAAATCTCCCACCACTTATATTGCACTGAAGCAGAACACCCGTGAGCACTGACCGAATTGTAATTAAACCGAACATTACAGAGTTAATTGGTAAAATATAAAAACCATATATCAAATCGTTAATTTGCAAATTATTAATCCATCATATCGAACTGGACTGTTCCTGTTGCAAACATCAACACATTGACTGACATTTCATTTTTTATGCGTTTTCATAGAAATTTCATTGTGTTCCCACTATTCCTTTCTTGATCTTCCTCCATCTTTTGCTGCCAAACATTACGTTTTAAACTCACGTTATATACTACTTATTATATCAATATAAGTAGCGCGCACCACAATATCAGTGAAAAATTAGTATTTATATTTGTAATTTAGAATTGAGAATATCATATGTTTTTATCCAATTAATATTTGGCTATTACTATAACGGTTTGTAGAGATTCAAGAACGTTATTTAAAATGGAAACGGATCTAGAGTAGAAAACTGTTGAAAACCTGGAAGAAATGAACTGGAATGAGACTCCTCGACAGTGGACATCTATGATTCCATTTGATGTCAAACTCAGAAGCAACGGATTTCAAAGTGAAGTTTTAACATTTAACCTACTGAGAAAGTATTCAATAGTTTACATGTCTAAATTCAATTGACTTGTCATGTTATACAATCATTTGTTGTTTTTGGTGGGTAAGTGGCTCCCCCTTCATATGGTTAAACTCCACTAGTTGCAACTCCTAACTAGAACACCGGAAATTTTCACTTGAAGTTAGTGACTAATGAACACATGAATATTTAATGATCCTTTAGTTTGACTTTATTTAGATCAGAAGCTGATGTTATCGAAATACACATGCCGGCAACCGTCGTATATTTTCATCGATTTAATTTGCGTTAAAGAATAACAGAAAAAGCCAAATACTAGAATGAATTTTGAATAAGAATATTTCACACACTTATTGATCCGCACAGACAATCAGAAAAACGAAGTGAAAGAATTGAAGCGAAACAAAGTGACGTGCAGCGGAGTCGTCGAGTGAGACAACTCGTTTTGATCAGACGTAACTGAATATTTGTGTTCGGATAAAAATCAATTACAGACACGTTATGAATGGGGCAAGCAATTAACATATACAATTTAAGTGGCCCGAGATCTGACTCCAGTAATATCGTACGATTGATTGTTATCGAAATATACATGTCACCGATCCTCATATATAGTCATCGACTTAAATCGCGTTTGTGAATGACCGAATTAAATAAGTCAGATACGAGAATGAAGTTATGAATACGTATATTTTATGCAATCACTGATCAAAATACACAATCAGAGAGATATAGCAAAGGTAGAGAGAAAGAGAGAATGAAGCGAAACAAAATAACATTCGGTGGGGAAGGCGTGTGAGCTAACTCCATTTAACCAACCGTTAGTCGATATTTATAGTCACACAAAAATAAGTTTCAGACATATGATGAATACGATGAGAAATGCACAAACATACGCTGATATAAAAACGGTCAAGATTGATAAACGAATAACTAACAAAGTCAAGATAGAACTCAAGAAGAACGGATAAATTGGCCTGTCCAGAAGTTAGAATAAGTTATATCGGCTTAACATAGCCACCGACACTATACCATCAAATAACAACAGTCAGGATTGATAAGCGAATAATTGACAAATTCAAAATGTAGCATAAGAAAAATGAATAGATTGATCTGTCTAAAAGCTAGAATAACCTATGCAGGTTTGACATAGTACCAGTCATTACAAATATTATCAGTATGATCAATTCAGTGCCTCAATAGCATTCAACATCCTCCATATCAGTAAAATGTTCTTTGTTGAAAATAAATTGAATATCAGAAGAGTTCTTGTGGATATTATAGTAAATTCAACGGTTGAGATCATGAGTCATTTGAAGCTAGACAACCATGGAAAATATGAAATCACTGGATCGCCGTTTCGTTTTAATGTGGGACTTCTCAGCAATGCGCATCCACGATTACGCCCTGCGGGATTCGAACTCGGGACCTACCAATTTTGCGCGTATGCGCTTAACCTCTAGACCTAGGCTTTCCATGGTGGTCTAACTTCGATTAACTCATGATCTCATCTATTAAAATTAGTACTAACTCCAGGAAAACCCTTCTGATATTAACCGACATATGCTCATTAGTGACTGGCTTCAAGAGGTATTTCCTAGAGTTCTAGTAAGAAGCACTGACTAGTGGAGTTCAACCAAATCTATTGTGAGATAGTAACTCACTGATGACAATGGTGGATGTGTCGCTCAATTTCGTAGATTGGTTGAAGTTAGACATTAACACCGTTGGATTCCGGCCAGCTAATTGGTCTAGACGTTAAGCGTTCACGATTGAGACTGGTCTTGATCACATGCTGCTAAGGAGTCCCACAATAGGTTTTCCATAGCAATCTAGCGTCAATTGACTCATGATCTCAACAATTGAAAATAAATTTATTAAAAAATACTCCCCTAAAATTCTATCTTTCATAAATTATGTTCTCATATATATTGAATAGTAAAAATGTAAAAATAAAATTCTGATTTTTTTTCCTATCGATTCTTATTTCCTTTTTTTTCAGACTGAAATAAAAAAAAATAGTAAAAAATTGTTCCTAATTTTATGATTGACAACCAATTATTGATCGACGTTTATTATGTGACAAAACCAGGAAATAATAGTTAAAATTACATATTTGATTATATAACCATTTCACTATGACAGATATTATGTAACCATCTATCATGTCATGAAAGTATTATGTCAGATTTTTTTATTATTATTATTATTATTATCATGAATTGAATTGAGCTCAAGAACAATAGAGAATTGAAAGTTAAATGGAACGAATAGACAGTGGGTTTTATTCTTTTACTTCAGAGATTGTTAATATGGATTAATTTTACTTGAGACTAAAACTGAGGATCTTCGAATTCAATAGAAAACTACAATTTACTGAAATGAACAAAAATTTCAATTCAGTGATGCTAGATACTGCAGTGATTTGTTTAATTATGTTAACTTGTAACACATCTTTCAAATTAAATACTCCAATGTTCCAGTACTTGATAAAACTATGAGTACACTTTACACAAGTTGACTTGATTTGTAATAAATGAACATTTAGATGAGGAAAACCAATTTCCTATTCAATGTAAAATTATGGAGTTCTTTTGTAAAATATGAAAAACCATAGATAAAATAATTTCAATACTTGAGATCATGAGTCAATTGAAGCTAGACGATCATGGAAAACCTGAAAGTACTGGATGGTCATTTCGTCCCGTTGTGAGACTCCTTAGCAGCACGCAATCATGATCTCGCCCCGCGAGATTCGACTAAACTTCAATTGACTCATGATCTCAACCATTGAAATTGCTATAATATCCACCAAAAACCCTCTGATATAAAATAATTCATTTGCAAATCTTCCGTCAATTGTCTTAAATTTTATTGTTCCTTCATTGCTATTACAGTTACGTTTTGTTTACATTCTAATTCTCTTCAATTTGATCTTCCTAACCTTCTGCTACCAGACATTGCACTTCTGACTGGTGTTACATACTACTTATGTCTGCTGACATAAGTAGTATGAAGTACAGATTATTATTATTATTCAATCCGCTAGCTGAAACTGCTTTGTATTTCATTACGTTTATATAAATACACATATATGCTAATCTCCTTTTGATATCAATGAAGTCTCTTCAACAATTAATCATATCAATGTGATAAACTTCATGTTAACTAACAAAGTCTATATGATAAATGTAAAATAAATACAAATCATTTAGAAACTTTATTCCATTTAGCTTGTTACTATGAGATGATGGAGAAGATTTGTAGCTCAGATGGATGATTTTGATGGAGTTTTGTTCTCTGACCTAGATGGTTTGATCGTGGAGCTTTCTACCTGATAATATCGTTCAGTAGAAGGATGAAAGCTCCACAACCAAACCATCCAGCTCATAGAGCAAAACTCCATCAAAAGCTCGTTACTATGATATATAATAATTGTGTTAAATGCAATGCTTTAATGATGATAATGATGATGATACACATTCCTTTTAGTATATGGTTCCATAATATTTTGTAATTTTTACTAAAATCTTTGATTGTTGATAACTCAAATACAGATAATTTGTTGTTAGTCTTCTCAATGAAATCCTCATTCTAACTGCATGTGTCATTTCTTGATTGAACAATATCAAAATACACTCCATATTTCTACTTCCTTTCTATTTGATTTGTACACTCTATTCATCAAGTTTCCAAATAATCTTTTTGAATGTGATTATTTCATTAAAATTTGTGTGATTTA